ATACTCAAACACTGTCAACATACTAAAATTCTTAAAAACAAATGGTACTCCTGAATAGGTAAATGTCTTAATGTAACCTTATTTATTCTTTTTTTAATTAACTTTTTAAATTTATATATAACAGTGGAATGCATTACAATTCTTATTACACATATAGAGCACTATTTTTCATATCTCTGGTTGTATACAAAGTACATTCACACCAATTCGTATCTTCATACATGTAGTTTGGATAATAATGTCCTTACTTATTCTTAATTTGCTCAGCAAACTTTTCATGGATAAAACAAAAATAAAATTTGTTTTGCATGTCAATGAAATATTCCCTAGAATAATATATTCAATTCATTCCAAATAAAGAAGTTATAAAATAAGGGCAGGAATCAATCAGTTTTGGTTAACACTGGTTGGAAGAGTAATGTTGTTCTTACTATTAACTTCAGATTTTCAAAGTAGAAGTACGCATTTAAAATCATTTTTTAAAACTAGAAAGGAATATTGAAGTTCCTACCTCTAATTCTACATCAGCTCGCACATATTGTCGGGTCTTTGGATGATTAAGGAGGTGCAGAATTGTAGTAATGAGTGCCTCATTAATTCGACTTAATTGACAATCAATCACATTTTTTAAGATGGTATTTAATCCACCACGAAGGGCCACCACCTCTGGATTCTGAAGTGCTAAAATAAAAGAGAAAAACTTACCAAATTATATTGGGGGTAATAATAAAAAGTTACTTTCAAATCTAAGCTTTTACTTTAAAATTTAATTTTGAATCTGAAAAATTTTCTAATTCACCATATTTAACAAAATACACACACACACACACACATACACATGAATTCAAGCATTCAATACAGTTTAATACACACACTTTTTAATAACGAGGGATGCCCAGAATTCTTATTCAAAAGACTAGGGACGGGGCTGGGGATGTGGCTCAAGCGGTAGCGCACTCGCCTGGCATGTGTGCGGCCCGGGTTCGATTCTCAGCACCACATACAAACAAA